AAAGGATACAGCATTGCAGCCGGCTAAGTTCTCGAAGCTATGCTCCTGCGAGCCAGAAGAGAGAGCAGGACCCAAACAGGAAGATCATCTGGACTTGTCCATGTGCACGACCAGATGGAAACAGACAGAATGGCCCCCTTGCATGCCTGAGCAGCGGTCTGGGGAAGCAGAGCTAACCATGGAAGGAGGGCACACTTCCTGCGTGCTTTCTGGCCCAAACGCCATCCTACACATCCTTGATGCCTTGTGTATGCCCTCTGAGGCAGCAGAGACGGGAGAGAGGACAAGGCACGCTCTGGCTTCCAACAATCTTCTGTTACTGGTTTGAGATAACCATTTAAAACTGTGGACCTGTCTGTAAATGCTGATGTCAGCCGTGCATGCGCACATGTGAACACACGTGGGTCTGTCTGGAGGTTCCCACATTCCTTGAAACCCACACGTGGGTCTCAGGTTAAGAGCTCAGGGCACAGAGTTGTGGCTTCTCGTTTTTTTCCCCACATGGCTCCCTGGCTATGATTTTGTAGATTCTTGAAGCAAGAAATGTTACTGGCTGGCACTTCCTTGGTGTTCTTTCCCGAACGGAGTTTCTTCCCATCTGGCATATGTTGCTGTTTTTCTATGAAATCCAGGTCCCTGGCTGATGTGAGCCAATATGACAGCCTTGGCGAGCTGGGGCAAGAGTCCCCACCACCTAATTAGGCAAGGCCAGGAGCTGAGGGTCAGAATTGCCGTATAGTTTCCCCAATCCTTGCTCCTAAGCAAAGGAAAGGATGTGATGCTGCGGGCCTTCCAGGGACCCCTCAGGGCACACACCCCTCTCTCTCCTATCCTGGCTGCCCACAGCAGTGTCCTGGCCCATCCCTCCCACAAGTGGGAGCCTATGTCACTCACAGTCATCAACTTCTCTGTGCCCAGGAGGAAGAGAAGAAACCCTTCAGATGAAGGGCAGGTTGCGGAGAGTCTGGGAGATACAGGTGCCCTGGCCCTGCCCTGAGGCTGTACTGCCCCAGACAGCTTTCTGGGCCACCATTCTGAGGATGAAAGGTGCCCATTTGCTTCCTGGGGTGAGGAGCTGAGACCAGACACCTAAGGCTCCTATGCCTGGCTGTCCACCACAGGACGCCTCTCTCGGCTGCTGTCTCTCTTCCAGTCAGTCCTCAGGGCTACCTGAACACAGGGCCCCCGCCAGGATTGGTGGGCAGGCTGGTTCTGATAAGGGTGGGCACCTGGAGCTCTGAGTGGCTGACCTAGAGGTCAGGGCCATCCAGGAGGCCTGGGTCATCTGTCTGGCCTGCAGAGGAGGAAGCAATTTCAGCCAGCCCCTCCACATCCTTTGGGACAACCTCATTGGACTCATCTGAGAGCATCTGCAGCAGGATGCGGAAGAGGCTGTCTGTGTGCCGGAACATCTTCCAAGAAGTCTTGATGTAGAGGTGGTAGAGTCACTTCAGAATGGCAATCCTGGTCATCATCCCAATGGCCACGTCACTGAGATGGCAGTTCAAGACCTGCACAATCCCGTTGAGGTGCAGGGTCACTGGGGCTCTCTCAGTGCTGGCTTGAGTGAAGACACTGATGCCACTACTGAAGCTGGTGTCATAGAACCATCTGTGCCTCCATTGCCTGCCCCCTCCTGCCTTGCCAGGGAGCCTTCCGGCTAGGCTTCTAACTGCCTCTGGAGCACTGGCTTCAGCTCCTCTGGCCCATCGTCCTCAGGGTTGACCATCGTCATCAGGCCCCGGCTGCATACATCGGCCACCTCCTTGATGCTTTTCTTGCAGTCATTGTAGGCCAGGCAGGGCAAGATGACAGTCAGGATTCCAGAAGAACAGGGCAGAATGATGAGGCCAGGCAGCTAGATGAACTCCCACGTCCAGTACATGGCCATCAGATGGATTAGGTTGTCTGTGGTCTGGCAGTGGATCACCAGAATGTTGGCCATCTCAGCAAACTTAAAACTAGAGGGGTTCTTCTTAATTTCTTTCAAGAATTCACCAAGAACAACCTCACACATTTTCTGAATCTCTTTGCTGTTGTCGCCCAGATCTGGAATAATCCATCCAGGATCTCAGGCAAGTAGTTGGCAGGTTGATGTCTGGCACAGACTCCAGAACCAGGATCTGACCCAGGGGAGGAGAAAAAGAGGGGAGGTCACGCCAGCCCAAGAAACTCTTCTCCTCACCAGTCCTCTGGGACTGGGCAGGGGGCAGGGGACCTCGTGGAAAGTCTTTCCCTGCTCTGCAGGTGTCCCAGGAGATGATGAACTGCCAGGTGTACTGGCTGTTGGAGTAAATCCTCTCCCGTAACAAGCCCACCAGGCAAAACCTGCTGCTCTCTGTCACCATGTCGAGGCAGTCCAGGAGCTCAGATCCACTTTTTACATTGGGGTCTGGGTCAGCAGCAAGCTTGCTCAGCACGTTGAGGTGGGGCAGCACGGCGCCACGGGCCACCTTGACGTTGTAGAGCGCCTCGCAGGCGTAGTAGCACAGCCTCCTGTTTGTGTCATTGAAGCAGGTCAACACTGGCTGGATCAGCACCTTCAGGTACAGCCCTGAGTCCTTGCTCAGGGGATGGAGCAGGCCACCAGGCCGATGAGGACCCCTTTCCGGTTGTGGGGGGCTGAGTGCGACAGGCGACCTCCTGGGACAGTGTCTGGATCACGCACTTCAACTGCACGGTATTGTTCTGGGCCACGAATTCCCGCACCAGCTTCCGGGAATTTCTCAATCTCCAGTGCTGCCACCCACCGTCTGCTTTTTGTACAGCTTGTCATTCAGTGCGCGCACGATGGCGCAAGCGGCGCGAAGTCCTTCTCTGGGTTCATGGTGGCAGCTTAAGAAGCCTCTCGACTCCTTAGCCCACGGCTGCTGGGGCCTGGCAATTTTTGCTCCTTTGTATGACAGCCATGGGAAACTAACACGAGGCCAGGCGCAGTGGCTCTCACCTGTAATCCCAGCACTCTGGGAGGCTGAGGCAGGTGGATGGCCTGAGGTCACAGGTTAGAGACCAGACTGAGCTTGAGTGAGAGACCTCATCTCTAAAAACAGACGGGCATTGTGGTGGGCATCTATAGTCCCAGCTACTCCGGAGGCTGAGGCAATAGAATCACTTAAGCCTAAGAGTTTGAAGTTGCTGTGACACCATAGCACTATACTGAGGGTGACAAAGTGAGACTCTGTCTCCAAAAAAAAAAAGAGAGAGGGAAAGAAAAGAAACTAATACAATACTTTTCCTTTCATTATAGCTTCAAAGTTACTTTTTTTAAAACATTGATATTAATTTATATGAGTCAATTCAAAGTCAGTGACTGGACAACTACATAAAAAAAATCTGAGGTCAACAAATCTTTAGGAAGTAACCCTGTACCAATGTACATCTGAAGATCAAGCGCTAGAAATCTGCTCAATGAATGCCTTTAAGCAAAGGATGTATAACATCCATCACACATCTGTTTCAGAATTATACATTTATCGCTTCCTCAATTATACATCTCTTTACAAACAGACATTATAGTATCAATAACTATGGACACCATCAGGATGAGTTCTATAATATGCTGCTAACATTCACAAGCCATCCCTGAGCCATCTCCAGCAGCAGTTCTCACCCATGGGTCATGACCCACAGGAACTGTATTAAAGGGCTGTGGCATTAGGAAGGTTGAGGACCACTGCGACCTAAGGCATCCCTTTTAATCTTGGGACTCCAAGGACATCTTTGTTTTAGTCAGTGTTACATCTCCATTTTCATCTTCTTCATAACTGGCATGGTCTCTCGTCTTGGCAAAATTTTTCCCAATTGTCCCCACAACCGTCTCATATCTTCTAGCCATTTCTTCATCTGAACAAATTCTGCTTTGTCCTCAGCCTTCATCTGAAGAATTACTTTCTCAACCTCAGGATTAAATCCTCTAAAAGACAATCCTCCATAGAGAAGATCTTCACATAACAAGAAACTCTGCTCTTCTATTATGAAATTCTCTTTCTCTGTTGGTGCTGGCAAGTCCAAGTATCAGTGCTCTTCACCAGTGATTTTCTTTCCTTCCTCTTCTAATTGTTAGTTTCACAGTCCAGTACCCTTTGCATGAACTTCATGTGTAGCAGGTTCTTGGGCAACTTGGTCTTCTACTCGGCCACCATGGCTGGTCCAGCTCAGTGCAGCTCTCTGGCTATGAACTCCCAAAGTTAGCTTAGGGAGGATTCTTAGTGTTATCAATGAGAAAACATAAACCATGTTTATGCCTGATTTTGTCTTTGATTCCTGAATATTTGGCAAGCATTTTTTTTCATTCGTTTCAAGAAAATCTTGAATTGGAATTAAGAGTGTAGGTGTTTAGTGACTTAACCAATGGGCATTGGCAAAGCACAAAATCACTGAATTCACTGTCTCCTATTTCTATCTACAGTTCCAGAAATTGGTGATGATTTATATCATTTGCATAAGTTATATTATTTCAAGACATAAGATACCCCAAAATATGAGAAGATAACTTTAATTTGATAATGGCAATACTATTCTGGGATGCAGCAGTATGGAGTAAAGAGAAGCACTTTGGAACTAACCATACCATGGTTCACTTTTCAATTTGTATTTCCAACAAGGTGACTTTGGGCAAGTCCCTTAGCCTTTCTAAGTTTACTGACACTTCTAAAGTCTCACTCAAGTCCCCATTAGCAACAAAGGCATAATCCCACCTTCCTCACAGTCCCATTGGGGATTAATTTAGACAACTTAGTTAAAAGCCCCAGTTCACTTTGTGACACATAATAATGTCAGTTTCTTTCCTCTTTTCCAGGATTCTTTCAGAGAATACCTATCTGAACTCATTCTGGCTGCCAAGTGTGGCTTTTATTCATGTTCTGTTCTCTGGCAACTTGTCAAAAAGTTCTAGACTCCTATTAATCATTTTCCTTCTCTCCTGTCACATTGAATTCACAGAAAAGTCACTCATACTTTAACTTATGCATAAAAATTTTGTACAAAATATCTATCCATACTTGTCTGATGGGTGGGACTCCACAAAATACCCAGCAAAGGGACAATAAATTCGGGGTTGCAGGTCCTTCACCAGCTGAGCCTTGTAGTTCAGGAGCTTCTTCCTTTCTGTTTTAATGAATTGGGCTTTCCATTCCTCTGAAATGGCAGAATTTGGATTAGCGTGTTTCTTTGGCCCAGAAATCACAGAAAACAAATGTTCTAGCAGATCAGAATTATTTCAAGGGATAAAACTGATAGACAGCTAAGGCAGAAATAGAGCCAAGTTCTGTGTCACTAGTGGAGGATTTCCCCCCCCACTTGATCTGGAAAATTTCAGCTGGTTACCAGGACACCCAATAGTACTGGCACTGAGCTTTCTCCTTGTATATGGCAATTCATTCAGATGCTAGCAGAAAACACAGGCAGCATAATGTCACCTTTTAAGTCTTTTTCTTTTTTTGCAGTTTTTGGCCAGGGCTGGGTTTGAACCTACCACCTCCAGCATATGGGGCCGGCGCCCTACTCCTTTGAGCCACTGGTGCCACCCCAGTTATTTAAGTTTTTAATTGTTGACATATCAAGTCTTTGCTAACATGAAAATGGCTTTATTATTTTAGAGGATCACAAAATAAAGCATGTTTAACATCATCTGGCAATGCACAGTGATCTAGAGTCTGACAGAAGATCAAAATCATGATTCCTGACGTGCAGCCTTGAGGAAACTCACTAACTTCCCATCTGTTTCTTCCTCTGTAAATGAAAGAGCTGTTCATTTGCTCATTGATTCATTTAACCGATATTTACTGTGCACTTACTATGTACTGGACATGATTTTAGGCACCGGGAATAAAGTGGTGAACAAGACAAAGCAAGTCCCTTCTTTCATGGAGTATTCCTTCTAGTCGGAGAAGCAACTTAGGAACAAGTAAATAAATAAAGTCATTGTGAAGAGTTATATGCTACAAAGAAAATAAAATAGGGCAAGAGAAGACAGAGTGGGTGGGGTGGCATGGAGGGCATCATTAGGGTGGTCAGTGAAGAGATGGCATTTGAGTTGAGACATGAATGAAAAATTGCCCATCACATGGAGAGCAGAGCCAAGAGCAGTCCAGGCAGTGGAAAGAGCAAGTGCAAAGACCCAGGGCACTTATGCACCCGATATTTTGGATCTGAGAAACAAAAAGAAGGACCAATGTGGGCTGATCTATAACAAGCATTGGATAGACAGGCAGTAAATGAACTTGAGGAATTAGGCAGGACTCAGACCACAGGGCCAGGGAGCTGTTGCTATTATTGTTGTTATAAAAATTAGACAAATACAAACAAGGTCACAGAAAAAAAGTTACTCATTACCCAGACATAACCACTATTAACGTTTTGGCACATTCCAAAACCTTTTAAAATGCATGTGCATATGCTCATTCATATACACCCAAGCAAGAATGAGATTCTTTTAATTAAACTTTATTCAGTATATTTTACATGTCTCCCACATGGTTATACACTCGAAGAGGCAATGAATATAGACCTGTAGAAGAAAGCAAGGAACTGGACAGAGGCAAGCCTCATCCTGCAAGTAGAGCATTTCCTGCCACATGGTTAGACAGGATCACTTACCAGAAATATTAATTTACTAACTGGACATAGACTGAGCACGTGTTGAAGAGGCACACTTTGCCTTGTGCCAACCCCAGATTCACCCTTAGACCTAGAAAGCTCTCCTCTGGCTGCTCCCTGTGAGCCATTTCACAGGCCTAAGGTGATGAGGCCATACCAGGTACACACATCCCAAAGCACTGGAGCCTAGATAACCAACTTCCCAGCTTTCCCATTCTGTCCTATGTTCTAGACACTGAATCCAATGATGCTTTTCTGTGGCTCCTCCTGAGTTGCTCCCTAATCTCAGTGTTTCCTTTATATTCCATCCTTACCTCTTGAGCTGGAAACTTCAATTTATAATCATCTGCTGTTTACAAGTCTATTTTCCCAGTAAGATTGTAAATTTCTTGTGAGGAGGGACCATGTCTCAATTACCTTTGCATTTGTTCTCACAGCATTTAGCAAAGTGCCATGCCTGACGGTTGATATTACTTTCATATAAAACATTACCAGTAAATTTTCCACCACTGAAAGTCATTGGAAAGCCTGAGGCTCCTCCAGCAAAATCACTCATCATTAGATCCACATTCATAGGCAGCCTTCCCCCATTAGGTCTGGTGCAGTCCACTGTGTTGAGTATTTTATGACCTGTAGAGAAACAAAGTGATATGCGTATTAAAGGCAAAATCCTGAACACCACAGTTTGAATTCTCAAGTTGACAAAAGTCTGTATAGTCTGACTTACCTGCTTACAGAAGAATTGCTTATGTCCAAGGAAAAACAAAGAGAGTAAGATTTCAAAATCTAAAGGCTTTGATAGTATATTCTGAATTTTTAAGTGAATAAATTCATTTCATTTGACTTATAGATTCTGGGTATCTTAAATTCCACTCTTGATCATAAATAAATTGTTTTCTTCAATCAACCATCTTTAGATGTTGGGCTCAAAGGATTATGGAAGAGTGACCAGATAAATAAAAATCCCTCCACCTTTTGCAAATTCCATGCAAAGCTCATATCCAAATGATTGCTGGGACAGTAAGGTCATCTTTTCATATGAAACACAGAAGTGTATGATTGTATTACATGATAATATTTCAGGGTAAAAAGAAACAAAAGTAAATTTATTTAATAAGTGTAGTCTTGAAGAAATTGCTATAGGAAAAATATAAAATATCTGTCGTCTTATGAAAAAAAGTTTTGTGCCTGTCAGTACATAGTCTATGTCAATGGTAATTTGTTATCAATCTGAAAGATAGCTCAGTTTTCAAAGTCAGGGATATATTATATTCTCTCAAAATGAACACAGAAGAAAATGAACATAGGCTGAAATTTCACATAGCTATTACTATCCTTCTTCCCAAGAATATTTTTCATTTTTTATGAGGATGAAAGAGTACCTTTGTATTCCACGATAATACAAGTGTCCATCTCTGGATGAACACCATCCATCAGGATCATGAATCGAAGATTTTTGTTCACCTGGAATTTAACAATAAAACCAACAACTCTGTATGTCAATTTGCTTTTAATTCAGTATTTGAAAAGGCTATCTCCTGTTTGAGAAAGACTAGTCAATTAGACCTTAAACTTTTAAAAATCCTTATGTTTAGAACTGGATTTATTTCCTATGCTAGAGAGTTAAACTAGTGGTAAAAGGAAAGAACCCATCTTTACCCAGGACAGTCTGCTCGACATTTGAAGTTCAAATAAAGGTTGTATTTACACAGTGCCATGGACAGACCATTTTGGCCATTTTTTCTTTTTTGTTGTTGTTGACATTTGGCTGGGGCAGGGTTCAAACCCTCCACCCTCAGTATATGGGGCTGACACCCTACTCGCTGAGCCACAGGTGCCGCCCCATTTTTTCTCTATCTTAAGGCGACTACATTGCCTAAAATTCACCCCAGAAAGCATATCTGGAAAGTATAGAAAGAAAACAGAGTCCTGACCTGCTGCCATACTCCAAATGGCACCACATTGATATTAGTCAACTTGACACCACTCTGATTCAGATTCCAAAATACAGGTCTTTCTGTGTCTCCAACATAAATAGGAATATCTGGTCTTCTCTCAGCAAGTTTCTTCAGTGTAGGGTAACTAGCATTCGAAGGATAGAAAGGTTAAAAGTTAAAAATTAGGATCGTCTAGTACGAGAGACAGTCTGCTCCTTACACTAACAAATAAACTGAGAAAGAGGGAATTGAAAACCAGGCCCAGCTCAGAGCCCAGAGAAGAGCTTCCGCTCACTATAATGGTGAGGGCAGTTTTCGAGGAGATTCATCTCTGCCTATATACCCTATAATCCATGGTATGTGCATCAACCAACTATGCAAGTTCCATTTCTCACCAGTGCTGCTTTGAGTAGAGGTAGTTCTAAGAGAAGGCACAGAGCAGAAAAACTTATGCTGCTGAGGTTGCTGGCAGGTGAACACTTCCATGAGCTCCATTTCCTCGCATTCCGCAATCAGTAGTTAAACAGAGGACTGGGACATAGTATAGGACAAGAAAATCTGTGGGTCACTAACATTTATGAGATCAGTTGTTCAACCTTTTCAAGTTGCACTTTGATATGCAAAATGTATTCTTTATCTTTAAAGGAGAGTCAGGGTTACCACTTGGCAAGACAGTAAAATTTAGTATAGAGGAAAACTACATTTAACACTGTAGTGATCCCAGTCATCCAAGTATTTTTGAATGCCTACACATAAGTCAACATTTATTTATTATGCATTCATTACATTAAAGTATTACTGTACTTTTAGATAGGATACAATAAAAAGATGAATAATAAATAAAAAGTTAGGTACGTAGTACATTTCATATATTGGGCTGGGCACTTTCACACATCATGTTATTTGAGTCTTATAAAAAAGTGCTAAGGGTTGTGGGGGGATTTTGGAGATGAGAAAGCATATTCAGAAATATAGAACTAACAAATAGCAAATTGGTACTCAAATTGAGGCTTTTGATTATAAACCTAGTACACCTTCTAAGCATACAGTTTCTAAATTTAATATATGTGCCATCTGGTTTAAGAATCAGATTTATACATAAAGTATAATGTCAAGGGAAATAAGATATACAATCCTAATAAAAAATAAACCAAACCTGCCCATCAGCAGTTATCAGCTTTACTAATAATTGATTCAAGTAACAGGACTGTATTAAAAGCTATTCAAATAAGTAGAATTTGGCAGTTGGAGGTGAGGCGAGGAGGAGTAGGGAATTGGGAAGGGGAAGGGAGAAGGGGAATCAATAGGGTTTTTTTCCTCCAGAAATAAAGGATTAAAAAAAAAATCAAGAATTCTTTGAATGTGCTTTCTATCTCTGGGTTCAACAACTGAATCTTATATTTTAAAAAACTTTAGGAGTTAGGTCAAATTACTCTAAAATGGATGTTTATGGCTCTGTGATTTTTTTTTTTAATTGCTGACAATTCTTACTGACTTTTAGTAATAATGTCATCTATTATATACTTATTTTTTATTTACATAATAAAATCATATTTCTTTGAATAAAGACTATTCACTAAAGTATGTTCATCTTTTCCCTTCTTTTTACGAGTCAGGCCAGTTTTATTCGGTAAATAACTGTAGGTCACATGGGAGGAAGGGGTGTAATGACCTCAATGTTTACTAGCTGACTGGGCAAGAGTCAAAAGGTAGGAGCCAAAGGAAATTGATTTAGAGGAGCAAAAATTATAAGCTTCCTCAGCTTTTTAATTAATAAACTACCTGCAACACATTGCACAACCAATGATATTATAGTTAAAAACTGATGTATTGATACATGATAATTTTGCTCCAACAAGCCCTTGAAACTAAAGAGTTTTCAGGCCAGTGGTTGGGGAGTAACTTGATTAAATGGCATTATATGTTATTACTTTCCCTAACATTAGGGCTCGTTAGGGCTTTGGGCAATTGCATCTTATAACAGATACTAAAAAGCAATCACTTCATGTATATAATATAGTAATCCCAATATAAGCTATAAAAAATTAATACCACACATTACTGTTGTCACACAACACATGAATACAGGACTCTTAGAATCCTGAAATCATGCAAATTTAGTTCTAGGAGTTTGTGTTGGGACAAAGTTATCATATAAAGTAGATTTTTTAATCATAGTACCACTATACCCTAGTGGGTTGTGATCAATTATGAACTATGTTATAGTTAATTTGTTACAAAATCAGTTAATTACATTTTTAAACCATTTCCTTAAGAAAAAAAAAACCCAGCATGTTCATGCCTTAGAGTTCTCATACTTTTTAGGACAGAAAAGCAAGGAGCTAGGCAACTAGCAGCCAATATATTCTCCCTCATCACGGACATTTCATTTGAAGTATGTCTTATGTGTAAATTCTGTCATGTAAGGTCACAGAAAAAAAAAAAGTTGAAATTGCTTCATTAGAACACTGTAGGCGTTGCTTGTGTTTATATTGGCAACCCATCAGCAGTGAGAACAAACTTCAAAACAAGGATGAGGAAACATGAATCTATCATTAAGCAAAGGAATTAGAAATATGATACTCCCTCTTCTGAGGACTCAGTTCATTTGTAAATAGAGGTAGTTTCTTAAGTGAAAGTTCTCCTTTTCCCCTCCTTTTCTATTGTCTGGGTCAGGGAAGTTTCAGCTCCTATCATCAGTATCCCTTTGCTCTGGTTTCAGTGAACTGCTGGATGAGGTTGATTAAAATACTGGGAACTCAGTGTTAGGGTGTTATAACATCGACGAACCATAGAGTGTGGGCCAAATCCAACCTGCTGCTTGTTTTTGTACAACCCTGCAAACTAAAGATGGTTTACTAAAGGTTTTTACTTTTTAAAATGGTTGTAAAAGGACAATACAATTTTGTAATAGATGAAAAAGTACATGATAGTCACATGTCATTTCCATAAATAAAGTTTCACTGGAACACAGTCTCATCTAGGACTGTGGCTGCTTTTGTGCTACCATACTCATTGTGACAGCAGCCATATGGCTTGCAAAGCCTAAAATACTTACCCTCTAGCCCTTTATAGAAAATGTGTGCCTTTCACTGATTAATACCATAAATATTGAACTAAAAATGGAAATCAATTTTGATTACTATTAAGCCTAGACTTGTACCAAGTGGCCTCAGGGTGAGAAATGAGAAGTAGGTTATTAACCACTTCCTCCTTTCCACAGTAGCTCCTTCCTTATTTTCAATGGTGTAAGCAGGGATCCTCAAACTTTTCAAACAGGGTCAGTTTACTGTCCCCCAGACCGTTGGAGGGCCGGACTGTGGGCCCCGGGATGAGTCAGCTGCTAAGCAGGACAGGCAGCAGCGGCAAAAACACCCAGTGGGCCAGATAAATGTCCTAGGCGGCTGCATGTGGCCCTCAGGCTGTAGTTTGAGGATGCCTGGTATAAAGTGTGCAAACGTTTTTAAAAGGATAAAGTTGCTAAGCAGATGTAAGTATTTGTCTTTATTAGCTCTTTTTTCATCATCTCAACTGAACCTACTTCAAAGTGAGCCTTTCCTACACAATTCTTAAGAGTGGAGTGCTCAGGGCTTCATTACCTCAGGTGGTCTGAATGCATGTGACTGATGTAAATTAGGTCTGCTTGGCACAGCCTCTCCAGCCAATCAGATGGAGGCTCATGTAGCAACCACCATCCTCGGGCAAAAGCAGGACCAATTAACCAAGGGTCAAACACCATTCTCTTGTCTCCCAGTTTGAGGTCCATGCAGGCATGAGTGAGATATGTTACCTGTTAAAAGAGAGTGAGATTTCTTTTATCAAATCAGTACCGGTCAGCAGCAGTGAACTTAAAGGTTTGGCCTGGTTAGCTGTCAACTCAGGTTGGAGAAATTTCCTCCTACGTATGTATGGTCTGGCAAAATCTTGGACTCAATACAACTCAAGAGGAACCTTTACACAATTCCCAGTACAGGTCACACAGGTCATGGCTTTATCAGAAGAGAAATTCTCATGGTTGGTTTCATTTTTTATTTTTATTTTGAAACAAAGTCTCATTCTCTCACCTTGGGTAGTAGAGTACAGTGGCGTCAGCCTAGCTCACAGTAACCTCAAACTTCCTGGGTTCAGGGGATCCTCCTGCCTTAGCCTCCAGAGTAGGTAGGTCTACAAGAGCCTGCCACAACACCCAGCTCACTTTTTTCTTTTTAGTAGAGACGGGAAGGGGGGAAGGAGGGAAGGAGTTTGTGTGTGGGGGGGGGGTGGTTCTTGCTGTTGCTCAGGCTGGTCTCAAACTCCTGAGCTCAAAGGATCTCCTGCTTCAGCCTCCCACAGTGCTAGAATGCATGAGCCACTGCACTGTACTCATGGTTGATTTTAGGTGTCAAACCAATTGATTTACCTAGTTTTACTGTATTTAATTAGCTCTTAAACACATATTTTTGGTGTACACTGAAGAATGTCTTTTGTGACCAGTCCTTCAAAGCACAATTTATAAAGTAAGGCAGTTAGAGATATTATGACACCCATTTAGGGATTGAAATGCAGGCGTGGCTGTTAATAGGAGTACAAATGGAACTTGTGAGTTTGACGGGTTGATAAAGCTGTGCAGACTGGTCTGGAAACTGGCTAAGCAGGCTTGCAAGCCTTTCCCTTCTAAGTTACCTGGTAAATAATCATCCCTCTAGAATATCAACATCTTCTGAGAACAACCACAAATAATCCCCTAGAGACAGGCACATACAAGAAATTCCAAATCCATTCTTCATTGCACCTCCTGGCACATCCATAGGAAAGGAATGTTTCAAGAAACAAGATAAGGTGGCAGAAATTCCAGTGTGAAAAGCCAACTAAGTGGGTGAGGAGAGGTCAAGGAATCAAAGTAATGTGTATTATGTCCACTCTGGGTAGATTCCCATTCCTTTCCTTTAAAAAGTAACTACCCCCAAGCTACTACACAAGCTTCCTAAATACACAGAACAATACATTTTGATTATTTGCCTCTCTCAAACTGTTGAAGTGATTATTTTGGAGGAAATTCTCTTCTAGAGCTGGGAAAATTCACGAGAAGATTTGTAAAAGATCTTAGGGCACCGTGCAGAAATAGACAGCTTGCATGGCATCAAGGGCAATTTATGAACTTCCTCCAATAGTTTTGCATGATTCTCTTTTGGGACTTCCTCTAAAGTTTTGTGTTTTTTTTTTTCCTGTATATATTTCCTCACAATCCCTGGCAAGTTCTAGGAGTCCTTAACGAATGTGCTCAAGAGCTCAGAATGACTTTATCACATGCCTTAACTTGCCTCCTCAAAGAGTATTCAAGGTAATATATAATGGATGTATTAGTTTACATTTTTGTTTTTAAGAATATTATAATTTTTATGTTTACTTACCTGCACTTCTCCAAAAGCCAAATCTTCAAGAGATCTGGGCTCTGAATCCCAGGGGTTAGGCGGATTCAGCTCTAGAAGTAAAAGTCCTTTGCATTCATCCATTTCGACAACTGAAACCAAATGGGAACAAATTTAAATTAGTAACAAAAAATGTCTTTTCAAAAGCATCACTGAAATAGCAATGTGAAATCCAGGTACACAGAGTGCCACAAATCAAAGAAAAATTCAAACGAAATGCTTTAGTCACTTAGGTCAAGCTTGATATGACATCTGCTGTCATCAGATGGCTTAAGATGAACAATCCATTTCCTTGTTCATATTACACTTAAAGAACCCATGAACTTTCAATCATGTCAGGGATACACACACAACTTCACTACAACTAAATGAATGATAGAGATGAGTTTGAGGTACAATGGCAATGTGCAGGAAGGAGTACCTGGTCTGCTTGCAAGAGTTAAAACAAATTTCAAATAGCAAGCAATCTTCCAGGTGGGCTAGAAAGATGAGATGTTTGGAAGAAATAAAAAATATGATGATGTGAGACAAAAGGGATGAGAGCACAGAATGTGCAAAAGTACAGAGGCATGGGAAAATTTGGTATTCACAAGGTAGCTCGTGATTTATGACCAAGGAAAATGGTACTTAATGGTATAGGTCAGCCAGAGTAGGTCACAAAGGGCCCTAGATGCCGTACAAAGAGATGTGGATTTTATTGTGTGATAATAAGGGGCAATGAAGGATTTTAAGCACCCCTGTGGCCTGCATAAAATCCATTCTCTCCTTCTTCCTTACTTTAGCATTCTAATTTTATTAGGGGTGATGTGCCTGTGAAAGATAATGGTTTCCAAGGTCCCATGCAATTATGAGTGGCCATGGACTTAGCTCTGGTATACAGTACACATGATTCCAATCATTCCGGCCGGTAAGACGCAAGCAGAAGCCTCCGAGTGGGATTTCCAGGATCACTAGTATTTTCCTAACGAAGAGGAATAAATGCAAGGGACTTGCACCATTTTCCATTTAACTTCCCCCTTCTTGTTTGGATCTTGGTTGCCATGCCTGGAGGAACAAGAGCTACTTTAGGACCCTGGGGAAGAGAGTCAAGTACTCATGATGACAGAGTAGGAAGACAGAAGAAACCTGGCTCCTGGCTAGTGCCTGGAGCGGCTAGGGCGCCAGCCACTACACTGGAGCTCGCAGGTTTGAATCCAGCCCCGGCCCACCAAACAATAATGGCAACTGCAACAAAAAATAGCAGGTGTTGTGGTGGGCGCCTGTAGTCCCAGCTACTTGGGGGGCTGAGTCAAGAGAATCGCTTCAGCCCGAGAATTTGAGGTTGTTGCGAGCTGTTGACACCATGGCACTCTGCGCAGGGTGACAGCTTGAGGAGCTGTCTCAGAAAAAGAAACCTGGCTCCTCAATGAACCATGGAACAGCCATACTGCTTAGCTCTACCTGCTCTCCAACTTCTTGTGATGTAAGGAAAAGGATCCTCTATATGATTAAGCCACTGTTATTTGGGTTTTCTGTTACATGCAGCCAAAAGCAATCCCTAACTGACAGAGCAAGAGAGTAAATAAATCAGAACTTAATTTTAGAAAGATCACTATAAGAGCCTTGGGAAAGATCAACTGGAGGGAGGCAAGACCCTACTTAAGAGCTCTTGCCATGGTGTTGGAAGGTTGTCAGCAAAGTGCACATGGGCTTGAGCTTGGGAGACAGATGCCTTATTCAGAATCCTTACAAGCCCACTTAATAGCTGGGTGAGGTTGGCCAAGTTACTTAATTTTCCCATTCTTCAGTGTTTTTATCTTTAATCTTCCCTATATTCAAGGATAGTTAATCCTAACAAATGCCAGCCATTGTATTAATAGCTAAATGAAAGCTGTGTTCTCCATTCAGCATTCAAAGCCATGCACTTAGCCCTGTCCTTGTAGCTATACACTTCCCCAGCTTCCTTAAAGTATATTTTAAAAGTTTTCTCTACCCTACTACATTAATATAACTTATATGCACTTTGAGACAACTGCCCATAGAAGAAACTAAAGTGAAAATGACCCTTACATGAAAAAATGATTGCATTTTAGAATTTTTCCCAGTAGTGTCAAAGACTTATATATGTCAGTCAAACTTCAATTTTCTAAGTCATCTTGAGGAAGCATAACAAGGAAATAGTTGAAAATTTAAATATTTACCTTCCCTAAAGTCTTATCTCCCTAGCCTCCACCTCATGACTATGTACTTTTATTTCCCTCACTGCCCCCGACAAACTGATAACTCGTTTAGAAGATCTGCCTAAAAGCTCTCCTGGTTATTCACCACTGCTCAGACCCTGGCTTCACTGGGGACTCCGATGCCATCTCATTAGTGAGGGCTCCCTGACCATGCTGTCTCAAATAGGACTTCCTGGCCCACAACTTTCCTGTCCTTCACCAGCCTTCTACTCCTCCTCATTTTTCTTCCTAGCCCTTATTATCACTAGAAATATTATATGTTATATATATCTATATCTATATATATAATATGTATATACATAATATATGTTATATATTATATATATGAAGTATATGTTTTGTTCACTGCAGGATCAATAGTACACTGAGAACACTGTCTGGCTCATAGTAGGATTGACTAGATATTTGCAGAGTTAATTGATTAACATCTCCCAAAACTGTCTCAGAGCTGTACAGCTGCACCTCTCAACCCTAGGCACTGTCCCTGCCCAGACTTGGCACCTTCAGGTAGGAAATTTAAACATAGGATTATCTCAGTATAAGTTAAAAATAAAATATAGTACTCCTTCTTCATTCTTCAAAGTTCACTTTACAAACTAGACATGATCACACCAGGTTACTTCCACTGGTCCCTGCACACTCACACTCCTCCACTTTTCTCTCGTCTTGTCTATTGGCTCTCTGTTTCAGGAGGATGACCTTTACAGACCACAGTAAAGGGCTTCCTTGCCTTCTACCTTTGAGGTGGGTTTGGCATTAGGAGAACCCAGTGTGAGGCCACGGAGGAAGTTCCCAAACGGTGGGCTATTTATTCCTCCAGGAGTCACTGACCCAGCTGTGCTATGGGCACTGACAGATGTCACTGCTCCTCCCAGAGAAGGCAATTCTTTACAACTCTTTCTTCTTCCTGATTATGGAAACTGCTTCCTCTCCTCCTCCCTTTAGGCTTGAAAATGAACAACATTGCTGCTGTCAACTCCAGCAGTGGTTCGCCCACATCTCATAAAATGTCCTCTTCTTAGATAATAAACATTCCCTCCTCAAATTATCCTAACTTGAGAGTGCCATTTGGTTTGTGTGTGTTATGAACCTAACTAATACATTAATAGAAAATAACTATCCTTAAGATCTGCTCTCATAACAAATGTCAAATATTCTTATCACACACCAAAAACATGGTGACCCTGTAAGGTGATGGATGTGTTCCAGAGTTGTAGTAATACACCTCAGCTTGTACATTTAAAATATGTTGATTGTTCCCTAGGGTTTGACTATACTTCTTCAACTTTACTGCAGTATAGAAACAATACGCATTCAGTAGGAAGCATAGTTCAAATGTTGACTTTTGATCTTTTCCTGGGCTAGCTATATGCCGTAAGATATTCTCCCATGATGCAGGGCGGCAGCAAGGAGCTACAGCTCCCAGTCAGCACAAGGGTAAGCAACTGACGCTCTGCAGTGCACTACGCTGCCAGGTGAATTTGCCCAGCTGCAGGTCAATGTAAGTGAGCACATTTAGGTGGGCATATGCTGAACTCTGATGTTCAATAGGGTAGGTATATTCAATGTGTTTTGACTGACTTGTAACAAGTTTATCAGGACTTAATCCCTTTGCAGGTTATAGAGCATCTGCATAAAATTTTTACTTATCAATTATATCTCAATAAGGCTGGGGTGAGGGAAAATAGCTCTCCTGAAGCCTCAAATTCCTAAAAGTGATTGATTACCTTTTGGGGGGTGGATGTAGCAATATATGATATAATCAAGGAAAGGGACATAAAGATCTTTTGTTGTTAATGTTTTAAGTCTTAGGCTGGGTGTTGTGTACATGGTAATCACTTTATTTTAAATACTTTTAAAATATTGCTAAAGAAATGTAATAAAAAACAATATTTTTCTTAGTACTAGCTATCAGCTTATTTCATGGTAAAACACAAATGGCTTTCTTAATCAGATCAGGAATACACAAAGGATGTTTGATGTAGCCATTATTATTTAATTATGTTGCTGAAAATGCAAATGGTATAATAAAGATACATATTATTATTTATAGTCTATATAATTGCTAGAAATTAGTGTTGTAAAAAAATGCTAGCTTTATAAATGTCTGAGTTGGAATCCTAATTCTGCTGCTTATTAGCAGCAAACATAGCTTTTTAGAAGTATCCTAAGCCTTTGTTTTCTGAACTGTAAAACAGAATTATGATACATATACATCACAGAATTGTGGGGATTAAAGGAGATAATATATTCTAAAGCAGCAGTTCTCAACCTGGGGGTTGGGACCCCTTTGTAACAAAGAAACTATATCACGGCATTAGGAAGGTTGAGAACCACTGTTCTAAAGTATCTAGCTCATGTCTGGTATGGAGCAGATGTTTAATAAATAATAGTATTATTAGGTAATTATTTTATACTTATCTAATGAATGAATAGAATTTAAAAAATTCATTATAGGGCAAACAAACACATCAATATACTAGCAAAGTTCAGTGAGAAAATACAGTGGTATTATTAGAAATTCTCAGAAAACTCTCATACTGAGATCTACTCAGAAGGATTTTTCTTCTTCCTAATTTTTCTCTCTCAAGAGATGCAGAAAAAAGTAAGAGTCTGTAACTCTTCACTTAATCCTAGCCAAAAGGCCAAGAAGGTATCAGAACTCTGAAGCAATTACCACAAAGATTTCTATGTCCCTTGCATGAAGTTAGCTTGTAAGTGAAGGAGGATATAACATCTATCGATTCTCTGCCCCAATAAATAAAAGTAATGAGAATGTGGTATCCTTATTTTGATACCACAAGCTGATGAAATCTAGGTCATTTAGGTTGTGAAAGTTAATATTTATCTAGAGAAACAAATAAATCATATTC